TAAACAATAATTTCCCATCCCTCCTCCCCCCAGCCCCTGATAACCACTATTCTACTTTCTGTCTCTATGAATTTGACTATTCTACTACCTCATATAGGAGGAATAATACAATAATTGTCCTTTTGTGACTGGTTTATTTCACTTAGCATTGTCTTCAAGGCTCACCCATGTTGTAACAAGTATCAAAATTCATTCCCTATTAAGGATGAATAACATTCTATTGTGTGTATATACACCACATTCGTTTATCCATTCATCTGTCAATGGGCATTTGGATTGTTTCCACCTTTTGGCTATTGTGAATAATGCTGCTAAGAACATTGGTGTACAAATACCTGTTCAAGTACCTGCTTTCAATTCTTGTGTGTGGAATTGCTGGAGGATTTCTTAATTTTAAGATATCCAAATTTATTATTTAATTTATAGTTTGTATTTTAAAAAATCTTTTTAAAGAATTCTCTTCCTATTTGAAGATGAAGATACTCTCATATTTTGTATTGTTTTGCCTTTCTCACACTTAGGCCTACAATCTACCCGGAATGGATTTTTGTGAATATGGGGTAGGGATTCAATTTAATTTTTAAAGATGGATACTCAGTTGTTCCAACACCATTTTCTGAATATTCTGTCCTTTCCCATTTCCATGCAGTGTGAGCTCTTGTCCTAAGTGGAGTCTCTATATGTGTGGGGTTGGTTTCTTGTCTCCCTGTCCTCATCTTGTTCAAATTATCTTTCCCTTTGCTAATAGTACACAATAAATTATAGTAGCTTATTAATAATTATTGATACCTGGTGAGACAAGTCTTCCAACTTTGTTGTTTTTAGAGGATCGTCACTTTTACATTCTTTTGCTCTTTCATATATTGCAATCAGCTTGTCAGTTTCCGGACACAGACAGACACACAGACACACACACAAACACACACAAACCCACTGGGGTCATGATTGGAAATATATTGAACCTATAGATTGGTTGGGGGGAACTAACATCTTTACGGTATTGAGTCTTCCAATCCATGAACATTGTATATCCCTCCATTTATTTTAATCTACTTTAATATCTTTCCATACAGTTTTATATTTTTTCCATGAAAACCTTGTACTCTTTTTCAGCTTATTTCTAAATATGATATCTATATCTCTATATAACTTTTTATTGTAGAAAATTTCCAATATATGTGAAAATAGACTGAATAGTAAGCAGGGGTTGGCAAATTATGACCCATAGATTGGCTACCTCACCTGGTTTTGTAAATAAGCATGACAATTTGTTTACATATTGTTTATGGCTGAGGCAGTTGTGATAGAGACCATATAGCTGGCATCAAAGATAAACAAAGCCAGATGCTAATTAAAATGGTAAGGACAGATTTTATTTATTTATTTTTTTGTTTTCTTCTATCTTTTCCGCGACATGATTCAGGAAAAGGATAGATTTTAATCAGTAGTAACTATTGCAGTAGGGAACACAGCCCAGCATGAACTGGACTGAACTCAACTTAGATTTGTGCAGAAGTAACTGGGCATGTTAAAGGAAGAATCGAGGAGTAGGAAGGGGCAGGCAGGGCTCTGTTTAGTCAGAGAAAAAGTTACAAAGGGTTAGTCAGTGTAAATGTGATTAGGCCAATTTTGTCTGCTAGCTGACGGCTATCAAAGTTAGGATTCTGTCCTCCCACAGAGACTGGGAGACAAGTGTTGGCTGAAACAAACAGCAAATTTGGGGGCAGCCTTGAGTTTTCCCAGGCAGGTACTTTAAGAGAGGGGACTAGGGTCATCTTAGAGATGTGGCCTTGAACTCTTAGAAACTATGTTAGTGTTTATTCAAGTCTTTTTTTTTTTAGACACGGAGTCTTGCTGTATGGCCTAGGCTGGAGTGCAGTGACCCAATCATAGCTAATTGCAGCTTCAAACTCCTGAGCTCAAGTGCTCCTCCTGCTTCAGCCTACCAAGTGGCTGGGACTACAGGGATGCGCCACCACGCCTGGCTAATTTTTTTCTATTTTTAGTAGAGACGAGGGTGGAGGGCATCTCACTCTTGCTCAGGCTGGTCTGGAACTCCTGACCTCAAGCAGTCCTCCTGCCTCAGCCTCCTAGAGTGCTAGGATTACAGGCATGAGCCACTGAGCCCGGCTAAAACTGAGTTTCGTTTATTGATTTTGTATCCAGAAATCTTGCTGAGCTCTTTTATTATTAATTCATATAATTTTATCTATTAGGATTTTGTTTTCTATGTAGACAATCATATGTAGACAACTGACAGTTTGTCTTCTATGTAGACAAGTGACAGTTTTGTTATTTCCTTTCCAATTTTTTACATCTATCTCTCCCTCCCTTTCCTTACTGCTAAGACCGTTAGTATAATGTTGAATAGAAATGGTGATAGCAGGGACCCTTGACTTGTTTTGGATTTTAAAGGAAATACAGTCATCATTTGACTGTGAGTATGACGCCTGCTGTGTTTTTATACAGATTGTCTTTATCGGGTTATACTCCCTTCTATTCCTGGTTTGTTAATTATTCTGAATGCACCGTGCATTTTATCAAATATTATTTTCCCTGTTGTTTGAGATAATAATATGATTTTTATCCTCTAATTTATTAATATAGTAAGTGAAGGAGTTGAGCTTTTTAAATGTTAAGCTAATCTTGCCTTCTTGGAGCAAACCCAACTTGATAATGTCATATCTTTTTATATTTTCTAACTTCATTTTGGTGTTTTGTTTGGAACTTTTGTATTTCAGTTGATGAGTTAGCTGGCCCAAAATGATTTATTCTCATACTATCCTTGCGAGGTTTTGGTATCAAGGTTTTGCTAGCCTTGTAGAATGAATTACAGATTGTTTTTTCTTTTTCTATTCTCTGGAATAATTTATATAAGATTGGAATCATTTGTTCTTTAGACATTTTGGTAGACTCGCTTGCAAAAAAATATGACTGGACTGATGTTTTCTTTAGGGAAGGTGTTTCTCATTGTACTACTTTATATTTTTTGATGCTATTATAAAATGGGAGCTTTATCATTTATCTTATAATTATAGGTTTATTCAGTGTTTTCTTTCCTTGAATCAATTTTGGTAAGTTACACTTTTCCAAATATGTATCCCATTTCGTCTGAGTTTTCAAATTTACTGGCGTGTTGGCATTCAGTATTTCACAGTAGCCTCTTATCTTTGATGTCTGTGGGTTTGTAATTACTCATTCCAAATATTATCTAGTTATACCTTCTCTCTTTTCCTTAATCGATCTTGCCAGAGAATTGCCAGTTTTTCCAGTCTTTTCTTTATTGAATGCTTGTTTTTAATGTCATCTTTCTTTCAGTTTATTCTATTTGATAATGTCTTAAAAATAGTTCATTAGTTTTTCTGCCTTTTTTCTTTTCTAATAAAGTCATTTAAAACTATAAATGAACCTTTTTTTTTTTTTGAGACAGAGTCTCACTCTGCCTCTGCCCCATTCTCTCTCCTCTCTCCTTCCAGAACTTTAATTAGTCCTTTTCACTCTATCTTTTGTATCTCACTATGTTTTATAGTCTCTGTGCTGTGAATATTCTTGGTAATTTTTTTAAATCTATATTCTAGTTCACTAATTTGTTTCAGCTGTCTAATATGTTATTAAACTTACACACTGAGTTTGTAATTTTAATTATTATTGTGATGCTTTTCATTTCCAGCAAATTGTGTTTGGTTCGCGACCAAATCTGCCTGGTTATGTTTTTTATAGTTTTTTTGTCTTTCACACGTATGTTCCACTCCTTCCTTTTAGTTCTTTAAACATATTCTACGTACATATTTTGTATTCTACTTTGATAAGTCCGAGATCTAAGTCTTTGCTGTCTGTTTCTGCTGCCCCTTGTTCTAGAGCCTCATAACGCTGGCATGAGGACCCCCGAGACAGGGGCCAGCCACAGGCTTTGAGTTGTGAAGGGCTAGGCTTAACATCTCTCCTGCTCCTTTTCTTGTCAGGTCCCCTGTTTTCCTTTTTTATCCCTCTTTTCCAGTTTAATTTTTTGAAAGGCTGATTCATTTCCATGGTTCAAAAAAAAAAAAAAGAAAAGTCACCTTCTTAGCACCCAGTCCCTTCCCTGCTAGCAGCCTGGGTGGTTAAGTTCTTGCGGATACTTCCAGAGATATTTTATGCATATTCAAGCAAACACAAATTTAAAAATTCATTCTCTCTGTAACGCAAATGGTATCACGCTACACATATTGTTCAGAACTTGTTTTTAATAAAAAATATGTTTCTGATTATAAAAGAAATACATGCTCATTTTGAATAACATGAATACCCAAGTGTCTACAAGTAGAAAGTGAAAGTCTCCTGGAATTTCATTCCCCAGAGATAACCTCTATTATGCATCTATAAATATGTATTTACATAAATGGGCTTATGCAACAGATACTGTTCCATAACCTATTTTTTTTTCTTTTCCTCCTAATAAGACACCCTGACATCTTTCCATGACTCTTTCCCTGTCTACACATAGCCCAGCATTGTTAAGTGCTTAGGCTTTGGAGTCAGACAGAGCTGGGTTCTAATATTAATACTTGCCCTGCAGCTTAGTAGCCATGGGACTTTCCAGATCTTCTCTGAGCCTCAGTTTTCTCGTCTGTAAAATGGAGATAGAAAGAGTGTACAGCTCATCGTGTTGTTCTGAGACCTTAATAAGACTGTGCATTATGTGCTTTCTCTGGGGCCAACTACTTTATAAGCCTCCAGTGAATAGTAAGTTTTATTATGACTCCCTCCTTTATAATAGCCATGTTACAATATGACCCCTTTATAATAGCCATGTAGCAGCTGTAAGTATGAAATGTCCCCATTTATTAACTGTTCCCCTGTTGATGAACACTAGATTGTACACAACATTTTTGTTATAAATACAACTCGGTGAACACTGAACACACACCTTTTCCAAACGAGTGTCTTCTTTTTGTGAATTCCTTGCCATGGCATCACTAGGTCCTCTGGATACTAATCTCTGCATCCTCTTTCTCTCCAAGGAGGAAGTGAAAGTGCCCCAGGGGGTGAAGCTTGTGTGTTATGTAGGTTTTGACTTTTTGTTACTGCCCTTCTTCCTCCCTTTCCTCAGGTGGGGTGGGCGGGAAGGTTCCTCCAGGTCAATCCTAGCCCCCAAGCCCACCCTCCTTCAGTGCATCCTAGTACTCCCCTCGCTCTACGATGCTAGATTTCAGACTTCCAGTTTCCCCAAAATCGTGGAACCTGACCATTCCATGATCATTCATTCAAGGATTAGTTTTCAGACCCACCTGCTGTCAAAACAATTCCCTGTGGTTTGCAATAAATTAAAAGAATCAAAATACGCTTGAAATGGGATAAAAGCCTAAAGAAAGAAAGAGGAGAAGGGGGAAATCTTGTTACAACAACCCCTCACCCTCAGCCAATATTGGAAAAATGAAACTGCTGGCCTCAAAGTTAACACTGAGCTTCCTAGCAGCCAAAGCAAAAAGGGAAGCAGGATAGATTCTGTAGCTCATTAGAAGATCAAAACTACTCTGCACCTTGAAATGGTCATGAAGGGTTTCTCTCAGGGGCATAGAGGGATGACCGGCTGCCTTACGGAGGGGGTGATGGTGGCATGAGGCTGCTTGGGAGGAAGAGAAAAGAGCAAGTCAATGACCCCTGAAAGGGCATGGCAGAGCTTGAGCAGAAGGTGGAGTCAGAACAGGGTGTGTCTCTCCTGATGCGATGCATCTCTGGTCTGAAGGAGAGTGAGAAGGGTCCTCTTGGGGCAGGGTTGGTTAACTCTGACTGTGGCTGAGTGTTAGAGGGGAAGGCGGGAGGATGGGAGTGAGGACAGGCTCCCCTCCTGGGACTGGAGCCAGCCAGTCAGCAAGAATTTATGGAACACGACCATGTGCCAGGCCTTTTCCGACATTGGGAACACAGTGGGGACAAAGACAGGCACATTCCCTGTCCTTAGGGGGCTTACGGTCCAGTGGGGAGAGACATTACACAATTGCAGGTGCGCTGAGTACTCTGAGGGGTTGGGGGAGCAGCCAGCCCTGCTCGGTCTGAGGTGCGGTCTCCCCTGCAGCTGGGCTCCGGGGCAGTGGTGCAGCTCCTGGGGGCCGTCAGCCACAGCCAGGCAGCGGGGCAGCCGCCGCCAAAGCTGGAGGCTCTGGAGGACTTGATGGAGGTCAGCTCATCCTCACCTGCCCGCAGGCCCAGAAGGAAGGAAAGGCCCGTGGCTCTGGGCCCTGCTGGGGGCCAGGTATGGAACAGGCTTCTTTACATAGGCCACGTCACTTAATCCTGCTGAGAGAGGCCCCTTCACACCGGATTCACAGGCATGCCACTGAGGCTCAGAGAGGTAGCATCACTTGCTCACGCTGTCCGGCCTGGGCTCTGTGTGCTCTTTCTCCTGCACCCCTGAATTCAGGGGCTTGCCTGGAGGAGGGAGGGCTGGGCCTCCACTGGGGAGGGCACAGTCGCTGGCCTCAGCTTCCGGCCAACCAGCATGTCCTCCTCCCCAGGTTTTCCAGCCGCCTCCTTTGGGAGGTGCAGCGTGGGACTCTGAGGGCCTCTCCGACCCTTTCCACCTGCGGGGAAGTTGCTCCCTGCCCCTCACGGACCTCACCTTCGATGCTGAGTGTCCTCAGGTGAGTGCTTCTGCCCCGGCTGCATCGCCTCCTTCACCAGGGCCTGGGGCAGGGGCACGTGGGAGTGGGGAGGTGATGAGGAAGCAGTGTCCCCTGGGCCAGAGGCTGGGCCCACAGCGTCACCTGTCCCCTGCAGAGTGGCCCAGTGGAGGCTGAAGAGGAGGAGCCTCTACAAGAGGGGACAGAGGACTCAGGTGCAGGGCCGTGGAGGATGCCCCTCAGCCACCTCCTGTTCTCCAGCGACTACTGGGGACTGGGGGGATTCGGACCCAGCTCCTGGCCCAGCCCGAGATACGACTCTCCTTTCTCCCGACCCATCAGCCTAAAGCCCCTCCCTGAAGGGGTGGGGGCTGCTCGCTGCCTGGGCTCGGCTCCCAGACAGATGGGGGGCCTGGCTCCCCAGGGGGACCCCTCTTGCCTACCTAAGCCCTTCAGCATTGAGTCCACCCCTCCCCATTCCTCTCTCCCCACAGCTCAGCCCCAGCCCCAGCAGGAGAAGCTACCCCTGGGCGGCGCAGTGCGGGACACTGTGGCCCGTGCCATGCAGGAGGCGCTGTGGAGTCGGTGAGGCCTTGCTCCCCGCTTCCCAGTCACCCCTGGGCTGTGCTCACAGGCCCCCACCTGCTGGCCGTGCATGTTCTGAGGGCTTCTCTGTGTGTGACTGAGCCATTTGGTGGCTGTGCAGTCACTTGCCCACGCAAACGGCCCGCGGAGAGCTGAAATTTGAACCTGGGCCTCTGTGGCTTCAAGGTCGTGCTTCCCCAGGAAGCCACCGCAGCTCCCGGCGCCTGCACAGGTCGTCGTGGACGCCGCCCGCCCGCAGCAGCAGGTGCTTTCAGACGCGAGCGCCCACTGGGAGTGGCTCAGAGACCGAGCCCAGGGCGCTCACTGCCCCACGGTGAGACTGAGGCCAGAGAGTGCAGGACCATGCAGAGGCCACACTGCAGGTCACTGGCGGATTCAGGCCTATCCCCAGGGCCAGGGCTCCGTCCCCTGCCCTGATGGATGCCTTACCCCCGGCGGGCTCCCTCCCCTCCACATACCCCAGTTCCCATCCGAGCAAGGGCCGAGCAGTCAGACAATTTGGATTCACATCTTGCTTTGCTACGAATCATGTGGCCTTGAGCGAGCCCTTATCTTCCCTGAGCCTCAGTCACCCCATCTGTAAATGGGGAATGATAATATTTCTTCCCCACAGGGTTGGGGTAAGAAAACTAAGGTCATGCAGGAACATGCCCAGGAAAGACCTTGCCCCCTTGTCCCATCCATCTCCCTCCTCTGGGGCCAAGTGCCCGGACGGTGTCACAGGCTGAGCGCACACGGCCCTGTCCCTGTCCCTGTCCCCGCAGCCTCCAGGAGCTTCCAGACCTGGTGCTGCATGAGGAGGTGGTGGAGGGGGTCGCAGCCAGCATCGAGGCAGCCCTCTTCGACCTGACACAAGGCACCAACTGCCGCTACAAGACCAAGTACCGCAGCCTGCTCTTCAACCTGCGGGATCCCAGGAACCCGGTGAGCAGGGCTTCGGGCTGGGCGGGGCGCCCCCTCGAGGCTCAGAGCCCTGGGGGGATGTTGGGGGCCCTGGGAGCAGAGCGGTGCAGCCCCTGCCCCCTGCCCCTGCAGGACCTGTTTCTCAAAGTGGTTCATGGAGACGTCACCCCCCACGACCTGGTGCGGATGAGCTCAACGCAGCTGGCGCCCCAGGAGCTGGCCCGCTGGCGGGACCAGGAGGAGAAAAGGGTGAGCAGTTGGGTCAAGACAGGACGGGCCACAGGGCGTGGGCAGAGATGGTGGCCCAAGGATGGAAGAGGGAGAGAAAGAGACAGAGCAGAGGGAGGAGGAAGACAGGGAGAAACACACAATCCGGGAAACGGAGAAGGGAAACGGGGAGAGAGTCAGAGAGATCCCCCACAAGAGAAACGGGAGAGAGGCAGACATGGCAGGGACTGGGGACGGAGAGCTCGGTATTGAGGTGACACACTTGGTTTTCTATGGAGCTGGGCTGTGGGGGCAGGAGGAAGACCGGGCCGATGGTCCAGAGTCTGGAGTCCAGGGTGACCACCAGCCGTCCATGGGGGCTAGTCCCCTGACGTGCCCCTCTTCCCATCCCAGCTTCGGACGCCCTGGAAAAGGCTGGAGGTCTTCCTGGTTCCCAGGCTGCGTGAGGGGCCCCACTGCCCCTGCGCTTCACAGTTATGTCCCCATGTGCCCTGTGTCCATGGGTCTGTCCCTGCCTGGGACCTGCTCAGGGGCAGGGAAGGCGTGGCCCTGAGCGGGCTTGGGAGAACACTCGCCTGGTGCTTGGTGGCCCAGTGGAGAGGAAGGGACTGACCTAGGGGCTAGGGCCACAGGATCTGGCGGGGCGCTCAGGCCCCTGTTCTGGAAGACACTTGGCTGGCTGGAATTAAAAACTAGAGTCTGTCGGGTGAATCCGTCCACTGCAGGCTGAGCCTCTGTCCAGGCACCGTGGGGGGCCAGGGGTCAAGACTGGCTGTGGAATTTGTGGGGGCCAGTGCAGAATGAAAATGTGGGCGCTTTGTTCAGCAACTACTAATGAGTCAAGGTGACAAGGGCACATAGGGCAAAGTACTAAACAAAGACAGGGCCCTTCCAAGCACAGATCTCAGGCCCGTGACGCCGACCCAGCCAGGGAGGATGGGACCCCTGTCTTCACGGGTTATTAGAAAAGGAGAGACAGGCTTCCCAGAAACATTTCAGATAGAACGACATCGATCAACAATAAGAATCACAACTAGCATTTACCATGAGCCATGCTCCAGGCTAAGCATTCTACAGATGTTGTTTAATATAGTACCTTTAATTTAATTCCCAGAGAACAGATAAACTAAGGCTTAGAGCTGGTAAGTGCTTGCCCAAGGCCATACTACCTTGTAAAACTTTATTAAGGGCCTAGCTGGGACTCCAGAGCTTGTACTCTTTTGACTACACAACCACCTTCCCAGCTCAGAGGGTAGAATTGATGGGTGGGTAAGGTGAAATCCAGGAAGGCTTCCTGGAGGAGGCAATTCTTGAGTTGAAGGGTGAATGAATGGAATCTGGAGAGGTAGTGAGGGTAGAGGGAGAGGGCTTCCCAGGGGAGAGGAATGGCAAAAGTGAAAGTGTGGGGACAGGGGAAGGCCCGGCATGGAAGGGGACCCACAGGAAAGGGGCCTCAAGGGAGGAAAGGGAGCTCTGGGCTCTTGGAGGCCAGAGACCCCCTAACCTGGCTGAGCTTGGGCTACTGCCCCTCTCCAGGGCCTGGAGATCATCGAGCAGCAGCAGCAGGAGCCGTGCAGACTTCCAGCCTCCAAACTGACGCACAAGGGCGAAGTGGAGATCCAGCGGGACACGGACCAGACGCTGACCCTGGAGGATCTGGCGGTGAGTGGGGCTGACCCGGTGCCAGGCAGGGCCCAGGCGCAGGGATCCCACTCCTCAGACCACCAGCTGTGTGGCCTTGGGCAAGTCACCGACTGCACCGAGGCCCACCTTGTGATAGAGCAGGGACAGCGATCCTTACCGTGCACGGTCCGGGGCAGCACAGAGCGAGGCAGCGCCATGCGCACAGGCCCGCCCGTGCCTTCCTGGAGCTGGTCCCTTCCTTCTGTCTAACCCCAGCGCACCCACGAGTACTTGGTACAGTCGCCACAGGCACCCCCAACCTTGCACACTCCGCCCAGGTCTGCGCGGGGAAGCAGGGCTCCTCCCTGTCCCGGGCAGGGAGTTTTTCCGATGTGAGGAACAGAGACCTGCTCTGCGCGGCAGATTGGTTCAGGGACGCTCCAGGCGCCCAGGGCGGTCGGGCCAGAGGGCCTCCTGGAACTTGCCCTGGGAGCTGGAAAGCCAACAGCAGTGACCAGGGTCTGGCCTCCTCCAGTCCACCCTTAGGTCCGTCCCGCTCCTTCCTGCCTTGGCTCCTCCTCCTCCTCGCATGTGGCCCGACATGGCGGCTCAGCAGCCCCAGAACTGACCAACCTGTCACCTTGGCCTCCTGCAGCCAGTCGGACTTGCCCTGGGCTCTCTTCGGTCACGCTCAGAAGCCACCCTGCCTGTGGCTGGGGGTTCCATGGGCCAGATGTTCCCCTGGGTCCAATCAGCAGTGTCCAGGAGAGGGGTGCAGGGCAGGCCCCTTGAACCATGTTCATTCACCCAACACATACGTATTTACCGAGCTCCCTCACCCAACACATACATATTTACCAAGCTCCCGCTAGGTGCCAGGCATAGTTCTGGGCTCTGGGGAAACGGCAGTGAACATGAGAGACAGAAATCCCTGCTCCCCTACCACCACCAACGTTCAGGCCAATGACTGGGAGAACCACTGCCTGTGCAGAGAGGAGCTGTGAGTGGGTGTGGCTGTCCCCCAACCAAAGCCACTCTGTATTCCCCAAATAAAGTGGAAATGTTGGGACAGGAGCTAGGTAGACCTAGAGAGAAGCCCTCAGCCCCAAGAGAAAGGAAGACAGAGAGGAGGTGGCTGGGGAAGGGAGGGGGAAACAACACATAAAAACAATCTTTTTATTAAACACCTAGCATGGCTAGGCACGGTGGCTCATGTCTATAATCCTAGCACTCTGGGAGGCCGAAGCAGGAGGATTGCTTGAGGTCAGGAGTTCAAGACCAGCCTCAGCAAGAGCAAGACCCCCATCTCTACTAAAACATAGAAAAATTAGCTGAGCATGGTGGCACGTGCCTATCGTCCCAGCTACTCGGGAGGCTGAGGCAGGAAGATCACTTGAGCCTAGGAGTTTGAGGTTGCAATGAGCTACGATGCCACCACTGTACTCTACCTGGGGCGACAGAGTGAGACTGTCTCAAAAAAACCCCAAACAAACAAAACACCAGTGCATTCAAGCCTCACAGTGACCTATGAGGTGGGTGCTCTTGCCAGTTTCCAGCATGAGGAACCTGGCACTGTGTGCCCAAGGTCACACGGCGTGCGGTGGTGGAGCTGAGACTTCGGCCCTGGCTGTCTGACTCCAAAGCCTGTGCTTTGGCACTGCTCTGGGGGCGGTTTATAAGACAAGAATAGAGTTTAAACATCTTCTTAAAGCTTCCTAAAGCAGTGTTTGTTTTGTGTTTAAAGCTATGAGGGGGGAAAGTGACTTGGCAATAGACATCGAGAGTCTTTAAAATGTTCTTTCTTGCTGCTTCTGTCATCTGAGAACTTGTCCTAAGGAAATAGTTTAAAGTTTAGGAAAATATTTTCTGCGCAAAGATGTCTTTAGTGCTATTTATAGTAGCGAAAACCTGGAAAGGACCCAGGCGGGTGGCAGGAGAGGTGCCATGTCCACTGTAGTCCACCCCAGCAGTGTGGTGTCTGCAGGGACTGTACAACCTGGCATTTGCCTCTGCTACCATTAGTGGACAAAAAAGAATAGAAAGGTGAATATTTGACGCCAGCTATTTTAGTAAAAGCACCCCCAAACCTGTGCATAGAAAAACTATTATAAAGAAATGTCCAGAATATCAACAGTTGTCTCTGGGTGGAGTCAAGAAGTGATTTTTTTTTTTTAATTTTCAATGTTTCAAATTTTCTTTACAAGTTCATGATACTTTCATAAATATATAAAAAACATATTGAGAAAAATAAAATAAAACCCATCCCTGGGGCCCCCTACCCCAGCCAGCTTCCCAGCCTGTCCCTCTCCTCCTCTGCCTCCCAGGGCCCTGTGGCGCCCACCGACTGCAGCTCACTGGCCCCGCCCGCCACGCTAGAGGACACCACGGAGCAGCATGAGCACTACTTTCTAGACCCCAACTGCCGCATCTGCACAGGTGGGAGGGGGACACAGGAGGGGTGCAGGGGCTGAGTGTGGGGTCTGGCAGCAACAGGGATTCATGGCCTGGGGAAAAGGTGGCAGAGTGGGGGTGCCCCCCCCCCAAGTCATCTCCAAAAGAATTTGGTTCAAACCCTGGTTCTAAAGCTCTGGGTTGGGTCCAGCCTTGCTGCTTGCCCATTTCAGCTCCTGCCTCTGCTGTTTGCAGACTGGGAGCCCTCGAGTGAGCTGCTAGGCTCCTTTGAAGCTATCAGGAGCAGTGAGGACAATGTCTTCCAGAGAGTCCTAAGCCTGGCTCCTCTGTCCTCTCTAGAGATGCCCAAGGCCAGGGAGATGCTTCCCATGGAGCCCCAGGACAGGTGTGGGGCTGGGAGCAGGGAGGTGGGCAGAGCAGCCCAGCAAGGTTGGGGGAAGGCCACCAGCTGGGGCAGCAGACACAGCATGGACTTTTCTTTCTGTGTGGCCTTGGGCAAGCCTTCCCTCCTTTGGAAGCCTCAGTTTCCCCATCTGTGCAATGGAACCAATCATCCCAGGCTTCTGGTTGCCCCCTGCACAAGGCCAAGCTTGGACCAATGTTCCAGTCCCTACAGTGGGGACACAGCACCTGCTCTGAGAAGAAAGGAGGAGCTGGGGAAGTGCTGGTGACCTGCTCTGCCTGGCCCTTTCTCTCTGTCCCTCCCTCTAGGGTCCCTCCATCTAGGCCCCAGATGCCTGCCACACCCACAAAGGCCTTGCCTTGCCAGCCGCCCTGGGAGGGCACTCTGGACATGTTCTCCATCAAGCGGTTCCGGGTCAGGGCCCAGCTGGTCTCGGGACACAGCTATCAGCTCGTCCAGGTGCACCTGCCCTGCTGGCCGACCAGCCCCGTCAGCTACTCTCACCCCCATCCATCCATGCATGCGTTCTGTTACTCATGCATTCTACAGCAAGTCACTGGGACCCCTTTGTGCCTGGCTTTGTGCAGGGCACGGGGGCCAATGAGACGCCATCCCCATTTCTGCAGAGACACACAGGATGACAAACTCCCTAGCGCCCAACGCATAAAGCAAGAAGGGCCCAGCAGAGGAATCCGATGCCTGTCTGGCTGGGAGGAGGGTTTTAGGAATGATCATTGAGTGACTAAATGATCAACTTGAGTGGATGGAGGTTGGAGGAGGGAGGAGGGGCTTCTGAGAAATTGTAGGCAATTGGCCAGGACAGGCTGCAGGGTCAATTAGAGCTTTTCTGGGCAGCCACTGAGTGTCCGGATGCACTGTTGCTCATCTTTGCCACAGGCTGTGGTCCTCCAGGTGACTGGGGATGAGCCGCCCTAAGTGGGTGGGAAGCTGGGGGCTCACTGGCTGTCCCACCTGCCCCCAGGCCCTGCCCGAGGTGATCCGCTCAGCAGGCTGCATCCCCCCAAACACTGTGTGGGACCTTCTGGCCAGCATCGGCCCAGCTGAGGCCAAGGTAAGTGCCCCTCTTCTCCTAGCACCCTACCCCTGCCCCTGAGCTTGCTCCCTCTCCACCTCTGCAGCAGAGGCCTGGTTTGGGATCTCTGGGTCTAGTTCCCAGTGTGACTGCAGAGTCACTGTGTGATCCTGAGCAAGTCCCTGTTTCCTCCTCTGGAAGATGGGGGCGCACGTCCTCTCAGGGTTCTCGAGGTTCAGGTGAGCCCAGGGGCGACTGTGGGAGCAGAGGATGACTGCGCCTAACACTGCCCTCCTGCAACTGCAGGACGTCTGCGTGGTCAGGCTGTGTCCACAGAGGCCACAGGACACCCAGAATTGCCACCTTCTCTACTCCTACCTCAACAACAAGCAGCGCCACAGCCTGGCCGCTGTGGAGCATGTGGGGGTGGTCCTGCTGCCCCTGCCCGCCTTCCAGCCCTTGCCCACCAGACTGCGCCCTCTGGGGGGCCCAGGTGAGTGCCCGATGCCCATGCCAGACCCTGCCACCCCTCACTTGGTGACCAGACTGGGCATGGTTGACACAGTCACCCTGTCTCAGGGAAGGCAGGCACATCTCAGCAGGGAACTCCTGACATATGACACCAATAACAATAGCAGCTCACACTTGGATATCGCTTCCTAGGTGCCAGCCATTGTTCTAAAGTTTACCTGGATGAATCTTTTAGTCTTAGAATAGCTCTAATTATTCTAATGAATGGTACGATTAGATTCCCCATTTCACAGATGAGGAAACTGAGGTAAGGAGAAGGCAAGTGACTTGTGCAAAGTCACACAGCCAGTCAATAGCAGAGCCAGGCTTCACTCCCAGGTGGCACGGCTCCAGAAACCAGGCTCCATCACTCCACACACTGCCTGTCCAGTTAGGCACCCCGAATAAAACTGGGACAGCCACGTTTGACTGTGGCTGCAGGACAGAGGCAGAACTCACAAACAACTGACTGTAAACGTCACCAAAGATTGGAGGGAGGGATGTTTCGCCACAGCTATCATGGGCCAAATGTGGCCTCTGTACATGGATGCCCTCCAGGGCGTGGCTCCAGGCAAGCAGCTGGGGAGTGGGGGTGGGGACTAAAGGGGTGGACTGGACCCCTTCCAGAGCAAAGTGCTTGGCCTTTCTGGGGTGCGTGTCCTGGAACAATGAGGTAGACTTTAAATCCACAGAGTCCTGAGGTCAAACCATCCATGCCCCACCCGAAGCCTTTGTGTGATCTCAGTGATCACACTGAGACCAGATCTTCCAAGAGAGGCTCACCTTCCCACTTCCTTTCCCCACCATCTCATGGTCCCCCATGTCACTGTGGGGAGGCTGTTCTTGGGCCCTAAACTCCAGACTGTTGCAGCCAGAGTGCAGCTTCTGGGAGCTGTGTGCTCCCCACCTGGCCTTTGGCCTCTCCCTCCCTGTCTCCTTCCGTCTTTCTCCAGGTCTGGAAGCCACTCACTCAAGTCTGTTGCTGGCTGTGCTGCTTCCCAAGGAAGGGCTTCCAAACACAGCAGGGTCCAGCCCCTTGTGGGGGAAGGTTCAAAAGATGGTCTCCTTCAACAGGAAAGTGGAGATGAGATACTACCACCCAGAGTCCAGGAGGCCGCATGTGGCCCTGAAGGGGTCCCCTCCCCAAAAGCATACCCTGCAGCAGAGCCAGGAGAAAGGCAGTCTGGCCTCAAGGGGAATTTCTGCTTGGCAGAGGCTTCCCAGAGGCAGGGGGAGGCTGTGGGCAGAGCCTGAAACCTGGCAGGGTCCTGGGCGAGGGGGGAGGCCCCCAGAACCAGGCTGGTGCCAGTCTCAGCATTCCGATTCAGCAGCACCAGCTGCCCATGGCTTTGGCCATGGCCAGCACCTCCACAGGGCCTCCTGTCCCCACCAAGCCCTGCTCCAGCACCTCGAATCCCTGGTGACCATAACTCACAAACTCCAAGCCTCACTGTGGCCCCCAGGCCAGGGGCTGCTTCCCCCATCCCCTGCAGCATCTGCCCAGCCCCCTGTAGTTCCAGAGCCCCCTGGCCTAGCCCCTGACTCCTCTTTGGGCCCTACAGATGGAGCTGGCAAGAGTGTACCCTCCCTAGAGAGGCCTGACCCTCCTTACCCACCAGAACAGGGGCTCTGATTCCCTCACCAGTGCTGAACTCTGAGCTGTTCCAGAGAGAGATGGGGCAGAGGGACGGGAGGGTCACCTCTACCCTATTTGAAATAGTTTCCTGTTCTGCAATCTGTTTGCTGTTGATTTTTTTTTGTTCAATAAATAATTTGGCACTCTAGCCTGGACAACAAAGTGAGACTCTGTCTCAAAAAAAAAAAATAATAATTTGGTAAAGTTGGGATTGCATCTGCAGGAGAGACCCTGGTACTGGCAGTTGTGGGCTGGTTCGGTGTGTCTGTGAGTTTCTGGGCACCAGTATGCAGCCTTGCTAGTCGCTGGTCTGAGATCCCGAACCATCACTGTGCCCCAGGTCACAGCTGTTTCCATGGTGGCCTCTGGAAGCATTCTGCAAGCATTCTGAACTAGGAGGAAGAAGAGGTGGTGGGAGAGAAGGCAGGACTGGGGTGTGGGGGAGAGAGAGAAATGGAAAGAGCCTTTCGGAGGGGCACAGACACCTAGAGATTGCTAGGGAGAAAAAGGACAGCAAGTTGCAGTGGTTTTTAAATTTTTCAGTTAATGCTAAGATTTTTTTCGTTTAGATAGATTGAGGGAATAGCACATAGCTCCACCATATTCCCCATGTGTTTCTGTGTCTGTGTCCTTTTGCGAGGGTCTCTGATGTGCGTGTGTGTGAGTGTGCCCACGTGTCTATTGCCTACCTGTATGTAGATCTCTGTTGAGGAATTTGGGAGACCCAGATAGGGCAAATGGTCCCTGTACCTTCCAGCTCCCAGAGACTGCTACTGGAGAAAGTCAAGGGTCTTGGCCTTGGGGGTGGGCATTCAGGGTGGGGTTGGAGGCTGGCATTAGGGTTGGATGATGCTGCCTTGCCTTGGGTCTGGAATGCGCTCCTAAAAGCCGCTGTAACTGTCAAGCGTCTCATGTGGGGTGTACCTCGAGAGAACTGAGTCTGGGCACTGACCCCACTAGCTGCCCCTGGCTAACCAACCTGGCGTGGAGCAACGGGGCCTGGGGCTTACAGGAGAGACTGTGTGCAGGACCCTGCCCTTCGCCCCCGTGCCTGAAGGTCTGTACCCCTTACCCAGTTTTTCTCGAAGTCTGCTTCGCCCTGGCCCCTGCTGGACTGGAAGAGGGGGGATTTGGTTGTTTCGGGGAGCCCCTCTTCTGCGCCCCATGAGCTCCGCGGCTGCCCTACCTGCTGCCGACAGTAGAGGGGGCCCTCGGCCTTGGGATGGAGGTCGCGGCTGGCGGGCCGGGAGGCTGAGCGGGGGAAGGGCGAGGTGTGGGAACTTAGCAGAGGGGCTGCGAGCGGGGGCGGGTGGGTGCAGGTTGGGGTAGGAAGAGGGGGCTGGATAGGTGAACTGGGGAGGGGGCGGGACTCCTTCGGGAACTTTTCCGGCTCCTAGGGGCTTGGGAGCGCCACCGCCTAGGCGCTATATGCAAATGACGCAAATTACCATGCAAACCTACGGCTCTGTTCTCAGTCCACAACTTGGGTGGTTTTCTCGTCCCCCCTCCCGGCCCAGGCTTCCTCCCGGGGCGCACGGGGAAAAAGGCTCTGTACTCTGGGCAGGGACTTCCTTTCGGAGCTTCAGTTTTCCCCTCCGTAAATGGGGGTGACGACGCGGCTCTCGAACGCCTCGCCCGCGGGAGGGCTATAGGCGGACCTCGAAACCCTGTCGCCTGCCTCGAGGCGGGGGCTGGGCAACGCGACCCGCAGCGACCGTTTGGCCCTCGTCCGGTTCCCACGCCCCTTGCCCTTGTCTCTTTTGGCAGAGGCGGGAGTGCAGATGAGGCGTGACGTTGCTGGGGGCGTGGCCGGCGGTTGCTAGGCTCGAGGGACGTTGCTATGCAACGCTGGGGGGGAGCTCGTGTTGCTAGGCCGGAGTGAGAGTAGCCTGGACGCGGAAGGCCACCTCGCCCCTCGGTTTCAGTGGAAGGCCCCCGGCCTGGCCGGGGTCGCGACGCTGCTCTCCCCGCGACTTTCTGCGGGCCTCAGCGTCCCCGGCTGGACGCAGTCTCTGAGGGTCCTTCCGGTTCACACCCTCTGCCACTCCGTGATCCTCTGGGCTCCGGAGCGAAGAACCCTGGGTCTTTGTGCACGTGTCTATGCGCCTGCCTGTGCGGGGGGGCGGGGGAGGGCGGGTGTCGCTTTTGGATTTCCATAGCAACCGCTCCTGTGTCACCCCGTTGCTCCCAAAGGTTTGAGCGGTTGCTTGCACAAATTTACATATATCTGCATTAACATGGAGGCGGGGCCGGAACTTGTTTGGGTAACTATCCCTGGACAGTTCCCTTTGCTTCTCTCATCCCGTCTGCTGGGCACGTGGGCTGCGCATGCGTGGGTGTTTTGCTTGTCCGTGTTCTCAGATTTGGGGGTGAGTGAGCTGTCGATAGTGACCACCGGTTTCCTGCCCCCGAGACCCCTTATTGAACCATTAGCATGAATCCATCCAGGTATACCTGACCGAAGCCACCCAGCTGCCCAAGCAATGCCAGGCCTTGCTGGAACTCCAGTACTGCTCTTTCTGGCTGTGTGGCCTTGGGCAAATTTAGTTCCCCTCTCAGGCTCAGTCTCCTTCTCTGTAAATAGGGACACTAATCCCTAGCTCACCGGGTTATGTGTGGTTAAATGGGATGCCACTGTCACACACACTTATTGCTGCTGTGGCACAAGTATGCACCCTCTCACTCCCTCTGTGGAACCCCACTCTTCTCGGAACCTAACCAAAGCAATCAACTTCCTTTGCAGCTCAAGACATGGCAACTAGACACCAGAAAGAACTTCCAGATGTCGGGGCAGACTGGATTCGAGGCACAGGATGGGGACTCTTGGTTTGCCTGTTTGTCATTCTTGGAGGCTGGAGTCCAGGTTGGTGAGTGTGGACCCTGCCCTACCAACCCCCACACCCCTTCCATCCCTGTCTCTCTCAGGGACCTGTTTCCAGAAACCCTGCATTCCTGTCCCAAAGGCCTGGAGTCTGAGGTGGCTGCAGCAATGGCAGCTGGGGTTTGGAGGGCTGAGACCAGAGCTGAGGAGGTGGAAGCCGAGGAAGTTCCCTCCAGGACTGAGATGTTTGGGGTGGAGCAGGGTTGGGAGTGAGGTGGGAGATTAAGAGCAGAAACTTTTCTTGGAGAGCCACATGTCTGTGCCTTTACCAGAGAGGACTGGGAAACACTGGGGCCACTCATTTGACCCTTCTGGGCCTCAGTTTCCCCATTGTAGACAATTGGGACTCCTCTGCTGTGACTTGGATGGAGGCTAAGAAGTCACTTCAGTATGGAGAACCCCCTCACTGCTGCAGCTATGTAACAGTGCCATGGAGGTAGGGAGTTCCCTGTTCTTGGGGCTGTGCAAGCAGAGGCTGAGAGAGACTCCTTGAGCATGGCTGGGGTGGAGCAGCAGATCCCCTTCTGGAAGCTCTTGGTCTTGTTTGGACCCCAGCTGCTCCAGATAGCCTCCTCAAAAGCTGGGAAGTCCCTCCTGTGTCTAACTTCAGCCCTAACTGCTTTGGCAGAAGCTCCTTCTTGCTCTCCTTTATCCTAGTGTCTCTGTAACCCTAACAGCCTTGACTGCTGGGGTCAGAGGGGAGGCAGAGGAAGCGTTAAAGGGGGAGAACCAGTTCTACTCTATGTGGGTCTCTTAGTTCTCAATTAGGTTCAGGTAATTTAAAAACAGGGTCTGTGCCTATCCTGGGCGGAGGAAGGTTGTTAGTGATGGAGAGTGGGCTCCCATTAGTTGGTTGGTTGGCTTCCTGGAGGAGCTGGGACTGCATGGGGGCCATGCCTGTGGTTGTCACTCTGACTGCTGTATGCAGGACTGCAGTCTGCCAGTGGAGGGCAGTGGGCCAGCCACCTGTGCTCCGCAGGTGAGGGTTCCAGGGACAGGCTGAGAGCCTGGCGGTGCCCGGCTGGCCCGCCTGTGTCCCACTCTGGGGGCCAATTAAGTCTCCATCCCTAGCCGCGCCGATTAACGGGTAATAAGGCAGCAAACACCTGCAGCTATGGAGGCGAATTAAGAGCAACAGTCGGCATAATACACAACCCGATAAGTGAGCAATTAACAACCGGAGAAAGATTAATAGAAGCAATTATGTCCTACTCAGAGCTCTGTAAATATGACTGTCAATGGCTGGGGGATTCAGTCCAGTCTCACCGGGTCCCACCCGAGGCCACAGCCTCTGCCAGCAGGGGTGCCAGCCAAGCCATCTTGTAGAGCGGGGACCACGGTGCCATATACACATAGGGCATACACAGATATGCAAATGCACACGGAGACATGCATATATAGACATAGAGAGGTGGCCTGCAGAATGTAGTCACACAGATACCAAAATTCCCCGCTGTCACCCACACTCACATTCACACAGATGGGTTCACACAGACACATATAGGGCCTTCCAGAAATACACACAGACATACATAGAAAATTACCCACAGTATCACAAAGAGACACTTACAAAGAGAGCCACACAGACAACCAGCGACACTCGCGTATACAAATTTAGATATGTAGACACACATAGCTTTCTACTCATAGGGTCACATGTGCATATGCCATTTGACCTCCTTTGATGCCCACCTCGCAGAGGGCTGTCCATAGTGGGTGCAGCAGAGCACTGGACCGAGAGGACTGGGCTGAGGGTGGGAAGGGACACATGAGGGATAGAAAGTGCATGAACATATAGGCAAGTATGTCTACATGTATGTGACTCTAAGCGTGTGTCCTTGCAAGAATGTGCTTTGTCCATTTATAGGTATGTTTCTGTATGTAAACACGCATGTGCCTGTCATCTGTGTGGCTGGATGAAATGAGTGTCTGCCATGATGTTTGTGTGGATATGTGTACCTGTGCTGTGTCCGGCAGATCTGTGACTTCTCATGTGAATATCTGGATCATGTGTGACGCTGCGCCAGTGCTCATGTCTGAGTAATTGTGTGACCATACTTCAGAGTGGCTTCACATGTGTCCTGTCCCTGACCTGGGGCAGGTGAGGGGAGTCACTCCGACGCTTCCTTGGGAG